CGCCAAGAGACGTACCAATATTGTACTCTTTTAGTTATTACAGTACTATAATGGACGCTAGTCTAACCAAGGGAAGACTTCAACCAATCAACGCTTATAAAATGAATTTAAAATTAAGTTCCCTTATCAGTTACCATTATAAGTCTAACTAAATATGTTGGCCGTGTTGCTAAGTCAATAATCGAAACTTACATTATTTATACTTAAGCCATTAATCACGAAGTCGCCTGTATTATATTATCTTCTAGCTTCTATCTCAAAGTCACCTTGACCGTGACTGCAAGCTCGCGTGCTCCTCTCAGCATAGTAATCACACTAATTACACAGGTCTAAACACACATACTTTACAGTACATTTTTGTCATAATGCATTGTCTATTGAGTATTATAGACCACACAAATTAACTTTTGCCAATTTGCTATACGTTGCACAGCATTTGTTTGCCCAGCCAATACACCAATAGTGCAATAATAATTTAAACAAGCCAAAAGCTGAACATAATAGTCTAAAACTGTAACAGATAATGATATAAAAATTATTTAGGTACTTAATTACTTGTACATACAATATCAACATAGTTTTATAGTCTTCGCCTGACCTCCACGCCGCATTGGGTAACTTCATTAATCGGCTACAGTAATCTCCATTGTATAAGGATGCTTTTAGTAACTTCCAGTCTTGTGTCAGTTTTATAACATCCTTATTTAAGTGCGTAGTAAACTATTCATTACGGTGTATTTATTCTGTTTCATGTTTTCTGTATAAAATGTAGGTATTACTTTTGTGTTAAAATGAGTCGTACTTCTGGATAGATACAGAGATTATTGAGTTAGATACGCTTGAATACTAAAAGGCTAGACATAAGGCTTCAATATTACTTGTACTTAAATATCGTGCCATCTGTTATTTTATAAAGATTTTGTAGTAACAGAACTTAAGAGCGACTTTCAATTAAATAGCCTTTCAGTATTCAGGCGATAATTTATTAAAGGGTACTCAGTAACGTGCTCGGTTGTCAGTAACCTAAATGGGCCATACATACCAACGTACAGGTATAGATTCAAAGTGAATTATTCACTGGATGATTGAAGACTCTGGAGACACTGCGACTGCGATAAATACCAACTGCGCCCAACAAGACACTTCTCAAATTGATGATCAACTTTGATTGGGACCTTTACTTTCCCCGATTCCACCTGAATCAGAGAAAATAAAGATCTCAATAAAATCAGTAAGTTCTTGAATTTTGCAAAGAATAATGAATAATCTGATACTTAGTCTGTTGGGTCATCGACCCCAAGTCCATCTTGGCCTCTGATAACAAAATTTACCATTTCTCGCGCTAAAGAATAAATTATATAGTCAGATTAATGAAACATTTATTACAAAAATGTAATTAAACACGTATGTATTAACTGTTACAATTCTAACTCCAAAGTTAAAAGTTCAAGGTTTGTGTTTGTTTACAAAACATTTCGCTTTAAACAAACAAGGACGCAACAAAGTAAACTAAACAATTTCCACTCTTAATTCAAAAGTTTCAACATTTTTATGCTAGGTACCTAATGACCTATTTGGATGAAAGAAATATATATTGTAAGGAGAATTTGACAATATATACATTTTTTTCGAGGGGGATAATCATGCAATGTCTTCTCTCGCCCGGGTGAGGCGAGAGGGAGTCTCAGACTCTTACTGACTAAAAACCACCCCGTTCCTACTCCTGTACTGTGAGCCGGAGCCCCGGCAAGCGGCAACACGTTATGCGCTCCGGGGCCCTATAGGTATCAGCCTTAATGGACCCCATGTGGTGGTCTGATGGGACCTTGAGCCGCGCGCGGAACGCGACGCGCCCTACGCTCGGGGAGTCCCTAGCATGGCTTGAAACTAGTCGAGTTTCTCGTCAAACAGTTACATGAGTGAGCTGAAAACATAATAAGTAACTTAGTAAC